ACAGAATTTTGTTTTGCAGAAGGAAGCAGCTGTCCCCAAAATAGATTCTCCTGCGCAGGTGGTGAATGCCTTCCATGGTCTTTAACATGTGATTTTAAAAGAAACTGTGAGGATGGTACGGATGAGCCATCTATATGTGGTTAGTGTTTCCTTTAATGCACTTTCAGGTTTGAGCAAAGAACTGTGGATGATGTTGGTTTGTCTATTGCACCTGGTGTCATATGGATCATCATGATTCATTGGAAAGAAAGTAATTTCAAATAATTTCACACACTTAGTTATGTCTAATGGTTATGAAACTACGCTACTTTTCTGTTTTCACGTTTCAGGTTATTCAAACTGCTCACTTTTAGATTTAGGATGTGCAAAACCTAACTACACGCACGTTACATCTCAGCATGCATGTAGTGGGAACAGAGGTAAGATGCCTGGATTTTCCAATAGGGATGGCCACAACCAACTACATTGTACAAGTTAATATTCTAACTTGAGCCACGGCTTTAAGAAACTGTTGAGTGCAAATGTTTTAGCTACTCGTGCTCATCGATAGAAATCAATTGCACCTGTTTAACTCTACCAGCAACGCCAGGCTATTACCAGAAAAAAAAAATAAACCAAAATGTCAAATAAACTCAAACGATTTGAAAGCTGTGATATTGCCGATCAAAGAGGGGTTGAGGGAAATTCCACATTCTGTCTGATCAATTCATACTCTGCTTATCTTGAAACCGATGTAGTCTTTACATATCAAGACCACAACCACTCGTTGCTCCATTTTAAATTCCTATTACAGTCGTATGAGGCCAGACAGCCCACCGTTAAGGCAACCACTGGTACAAAGCTTAATCCCTGTAGCCAACAAAATTGTCCCCTATTTGCTCATCTTTTTTTTTCTATCTTTTGCTATATAATATATTACATATATTATAATATATCGATTTATAATGCCTTATGTAGCTAAGTGCGACTTCCAGGATGGCCTTTGTGGATTGACAGAAGATTCCAAAGTTCGATGGAGCATTGGCTCAGGTTCAACACCCACAAAGGATACTGGACCGGACTATGACCATAGCACATATGGACCTGCAGGTGGGTGCTGCCGAGAGGACAGTTAGCTGTTGGAAAAATTGGATCTTCAGTTTATGTAACAGGGTATTATGAGAAAAGGCACTGTCCACTAGATTATTATCTACAGCTTGTATCCAACTTTCTTTAAGTCTTAGGCATAAGTAAGGGTTTCTTGAAGTTTCTGTTCCCACCGCAAGGGTATTTAACAGTCTTTCCTTCATCCATGGTTTGGATGAATATCTCCTGACTTTAAAGGCAGTTGAAACGAGCCAACAGCCCCTGTGTTTTGCCGGAGTTTTAGTATCGTAAACGTCCTTCGCCGCGTGTACTTCGAAGAAAGAAGAAACGATAAAGTATCATCCGTGTAATTGAAAGTCGGGCCTCATTATCACTTGCGCTTGAAAATCAAAAGGTTGTCTCGTTGATGCGAAACCAAAACCAGGCATAGAACCAAAATAAAAGATCAAAGACAAATCCAAATAGACTTAACATTTACGAAGCAGAACATCACACGCATCGCCGCCATCACACAAATGATCACCCTCTAAGTTACTTTATAATTCATTCATTTGAATTCCATTTACTTTTTCACAGGAAGGTACATTTATCTTGAGGCATCAGACTATGGTGCTGGTGACGCTGCCGTCTTGACTAGTTATGCAATCGGTGCTGGCATAGCAACATGTGTGCAGTTTTGGTATCATATGAAAGGAAAAGACGTGGGCAGTTTAAATGTAGTGATCCTGAAGAATGACTCAAGGATAATAGTATGGAGTCAAACTGGCCAGCAAGGTGCTGATTGGCTCTTTGGTCAAGTTGGATACAAAGACGTTTTTAACAGCTTCAAGGTCTGAGTTTCGCTATTACTGTTCACAGTTTCAAAGGGAATCTCAGTCATTTGTTCCTTTTGTTCTTCCGTCATAATGTTTTCTTTGGAATACAAATTTACACCAATGAACTAGTTCTACTAAATATCAACTTTAACAACGATGGGTCCAACAATCGATAACGATTTCATGTATAATTTTTATTATTCAAATTCTGAAAAATGCTTTAAAAATTATCTCTCCTGTAGATTATGATAGAGGGTGTTCGTGGAAATGGTGTTCATGGAGATATTGCTTTAGATGATCTTCTCATCCTGGATGGAGAAAATTGTCAAACCGTATATGGAAATGGTTAGCTTTCTATTTCATCCCATGTTTCTTAAACTTCTTAAACTGAGAAAGATATAATTCGTTAAAAATACATTTAATGATTTGCAACGGCGGTACTTATGCTAAGTCTTCTGTTTAAATCAAATCATCTAGTATAAACGCAACGACTTACTTACAAATAGGATTGTGACCGAGTGTAAGGTTTTGGTTTTAAGTCATGCTCCACATGTACCATATAGTATCTCCTGAATCAATTAAATTTTGCTCGTCAAAATAGAACAGTTTTATAAGATTTATAAGATTTAAGGCTAAGAAATGTATCTCTCTTCTTCTGCTCAAGAAAACCCCGGATGTCTATTTGAGCAAGGTCATTGCAATTGGAAGCCCAGAGGAACATGGCTGATGAGCAAGTTTTCCCCTTTGAGATTCTTCTTAAGGGATTGGGAAGGCACAAGTGGTAGGTCAATAGTTTTAAGTCATACCAATAAATAAGAATTGAAAGATTTCAAAGAATGCAAGAACAATATTTTGCTCCTATTCTTTAAGGCGGTTTTACTTATGACAAAGGATGTTCAAGTCTGGCTAACGGAGGGGCAGGATGTTACGGAAGTTTAACAAGCCCACATATCTCCGCTAGAGCGGGTTGGAAGTGTTTGCAGTTTTGGTATTACATAAGTAAAGGAAGACCTTCTTCTCTTCAAGTGACTTTAATTTCTAACGACACACAAAAGACTTTGTTGACTTCCACTAAGGCAGGAATCTGGACCTTTGCTCGTTTGCCCATCATTCCATCTTCAGATTCCTACCAAGTAAGTAAAGCAGATTTGAAGACACGCACTTGTAGAGAATGTAATTAATTTCTTATAATGCTTTTAACTTAGAATTGATGCTCTTTTCTTGGCGTTATAGCGTTTTTGTCCAAATTTTACTAATCACTAGTTAGACTTTGTCTTTTTGGTAATCTCAGTATTTCCAAGGAGCTTACCATGTGATTAAACAACAGCTATGAACTACCAGCCAGTCTTTCAGTCATACCAGGTATCAGATCCTGTCAGGCCAAGAGATGCTTTATTTACAACAAGCAGTTCGCATCTTTCACTTTGATGCAACTTTTCAAGGTTAAAGCTTCAAATTCAGCCTTGGTTACGTCTATCAGAGGTCTTAAACGTCATTTATTTTGGTTTAACAGGTTTCATTTCTAGGATGGAAGTCTTCAAAAAAGATGACAATTGCCATAGACGATGTTGTATTTCAAACTGACAGTTGTGACATTATACCCTGGAAAGGTTTGTAGCACATTACGACATACTACATCTTAGTACGCCTTGGCCTGCATGATTTGCTTCAACATTTGGAAGTTGCTACAACAATATGGTTGAAGGATTTCTTCATTTGAAGTTTTGCTGAATTTAAATAATGCGTTTGATGTTTTTTCTATGAATGGGCTTTGGCGAACTACGCTGTCAATTTGCTATATCTAGTGGTAACTTTCCAAAGATACTTTTATAACTATTCAAATGTTTTAATTCGTGGTAGAGGTTATTCGTTTGCCGTTTTCACTCTTAAATTTAATTCTCTTGAACAGAAATCAATTTTTTATGAGAGATACATTTCTCTTCAGAGAAGAATTTATATGTTCAGATTCTCCGTCCCAAGAGGAGAATTATAATTCTGAGGAAAAGAAATGTGGTTCTTTAGGAAAGAACTGTGTGTCTTTTCTCACGGTTAAGAATTCCCATGAGAGTAAGCTTATTTATGTCTGATTCTTGCCATTAGAATACTAGTTTTTCCTGCGAAAACAAGATTCTTTTGCCAAGAACCAGTCAATAAGGTATTCTTCTGAGAGGAAACACTGCTCTCCTACCAAAATGATATCCATTTATGCAGAATCTCATATCTTAAGCAAGAATTACTGCTCTTCCCTCTTCCCTTCCCTTCGAGTCTTCTCCAAATAATTTTGTCCTTTACTCAGTTCTGAATATTATTTTTTAAATTGATCACAAAGACCCTCGTTCGTCTCTTGAAATTGACTGTGCTCTTTTAAAGAATCACATTCAAAAGGACTCCTGCAGAAAAAATATTTGAGCTCATCTGGAGACTTAATATTCTGTTGCGCTGAACTACATGCCTTTAATGGATTTTTTATTTATCGAAAGGATGTTTTCCCCCTAACACAGTTTATATCACTGAAAAGAATCTCATTTTATCTGGTTTTATTTTTTAACATACAATTAACAAAACATAAAATTGACTTAGATATTCATAATGTTTACATTGTCAATGAACAACTAGATCAATATTTACTGTATCCCCAGATCATATACCAGATCCCAGATCATATATAAGGCCATTGACTGTTACAATCTTCAAAGTAGTTGTTGTACATCAATGGCTAGCGTGCCAATTGCAATCCTCAGTCCTACTTTTCTGTTCACAAACCTAATGGAAAGGGGAAGGGGTTGATTATGAATATAATTTGTTATGATTTATACTTTACTTTGTCCAAAAATTCAAAGAAAAAGTATGATTACGTTCAGAGAATTCCTGTCTTCCCTCTTTGACTTAAGTCTAAGGGTGTTTGAGCTGCGCAATCAGCCATTACAAATCAGTGTGTACTTTTTTGCTGTTTCCTGTAATGGTATGTAATGCGATGATTTATAATACGATTTTATTCAAAAAAATTATTTATTTGAAGTTTTATTTGAAAAACTGTTTTTCTGTCGCAGAGGAAAGTAAAGACTATGGAAAAAATCCTTTTAATGCTGGTTATTTCTGGAAACTAGATGGCACTGATAAGGATGTAAGGTATCATGCATGCAAAGAAAAATGTTATACTTCATTTTGTAGAGAGATTCAATTTTCCAAAAAAAAAAGTTAGTTGCAATTGAGGCACACATGAAACACATCTCAACATAACTCACCTTGAGTGAGAAAGTCACGCATTCTTCATGTGACAATGCATAATCTGTGTTCACTGGCCCCTGTAGTATTACGTTGATGGGCCACCTAGTTATCATTGTATCACGTTAAAATGCCAGCGACATAAAAGTTGTAGGTTAAAAGGGATAGAAATAATTTAAAATTATCAAGTTTTTTAATAACGAGATCTGTAGGCGTACGCTCGATTTGACTGATGCTTTCCTTCTTAGGCTACAAAGAACGGCTGCTTACAGAACAGAAGATGGAGTTACATCTCTGCACCTCGACGGCCAAGCTGGTTATGCAGAGATTCCAGCAATTAACATACGTAGAAGCAACTTTAGCATATCAGTCCGTTTTAACCTTCAAGACATCCAGTCGTTGCAACATATTTTATCTGATTGGTCAGCACCTTTCCAGTTCCGACTGTATGTATCTAACAGCCAGGTGCATGTTACTTTGCGACGAGGGGGAAATGTACAAGACTTGTTACTCATGTCTAGTTCCGGGTTTGTATATTACTTGGTTCATGCAGCTTCTCATTTGTTTTATCAATTTGCTCCTTTTTTTCTTTTCTGCAATTTACAAGCTTATTATTCTGCTAAATTGTTCCTACTCTTTTTTTTGGGGGGAGGGGTGTGGTTGTGTTCCATTTCTATATACTTCAAGGAGAAAAGGAATCCTGGATGCTACTCCGAATTACCACAAATTCGCAAAGCATCAAGCAGAGGATATTTAAACACTGTTAATTGAAAGGAAATTGTTCTCTCACACTCTTCTGACACTATTTTTCTTTCAGTGCCACAATTGTAAATCACTCTGAATGCTCTTAAATCTTTTTGGTAAATTTTAAGTCTCATGCATCATTTATGGCCACTAAGCAGGAAATTTTAAAACAGTTGTTTAAATTACAGAAGCAATACTGAATTGGCTGATAAGCGCCTAAAAATGAATAGAACAATCCATAATGATAGACATAGTTAAAAAATATTGCATATTCAATTATTGATGAATTTCTGATTAATTTTTTCTGAAAGACATATCCGAAAAAATGAATGGATGCACTTGGTATTTACTTGGAACCGTCAAGACCTCAAAGGAAAACTTTATCTTGATGGACAAAGTTTTGGAGAAAGTACTTCCACTTATACAGGAGCGGATATTGATCTTAAGCTGACCACTCACACAGCATATGAAATTGGTCTGAAAAAAGACACAGGGGAAGTACTGCGTGGTTCATTAAGGGATTTGTCTGTGTTGTTACGCACACTGTCACCAGGGGATGTTTTGAAATTGTACAGTAAGTTTTGTTTCCTATTTTCGTTTTGAAGCGACAGCTCATTAACAGTGGAGCTTTGGCAGCTTAGAGTAAAGGGAGATTTAAGGTAGTTCTTGTGGAGCTTCTAAGAAACTCACTTAAACTTTGTTTGTGACAGCAAATGTCAAATGAACATACCCAGGCCTTAGTACAATGAATTATCTTTATTTCAAGCATGTTTTGTTTTGGTTTACTGAACTGCGTGGGGCGTTATTTAACGTCGATAGCCAACAATAGAAATATCAAACTGAGGTGTTACCGCCCACCTTTACATGTTGAATTTAACTTTTCTTTTCACGTTACGTCAGTTTTTGAAACTGTCAAGCCCAAATTTCCCCTTAAAGAACGAATAATGTTTTCAAATGTGTGTTTGAACTCTACTATACGGATAAACTTACAATATAGTATTCAAGTTTCACTGAACTCAAAATTAAAGTGTCAGTGTAAGAGAAAAAGACTCGTTAACCTGTGGGATATTAAGTGGCGTTTTCTAGAAAATAATATTCACGTAAATGTCGTATTTTGCCTTATCAATAAATCTCCGAAAGACAGCAAGTAAATCAAACGTGCTGATGAGAATGGTGATGATTTTTATGAATGGTGATGATTATTATGAATAGAACAATAGTGAGGTAGATGTTCCTTTGACCTCTGTGTTACCCAGGACCAACAAGAGCGTTCTGTCCAGTACAAAGTACCATTGATGGATGCTGCAAATTCTCTTTTTCACACAACAACAAGCATCGCAATTCTTGCATGGGTACAGAGACCTTGGGGTGCCAAACCTCTTCAATCGACAATGTTTCGAAGTGGAGCCAGTGTGCCTGTGAGTAAAGAAGCTAAAATAGTTTTCATGCACTTTGAAAACAATTACAATTTTAAATATTTTATCATTCCTTCACACTTATATCCATTTCTTCATTCTTCCATCGGCCCATCTATAGCTATCATTCAATCCACCAATCTAGCCATCGCCCATTTAGGTATTTTTAATTTTTCCTTTCTTCTCTTGCATCTCTTGCAATGTTTATTACCTTTAAGCTTTTTATTTCGTTTTTTTACCCACTTTTAAATTAATCTGCACCTCTAATTTTCTCCTCAATGATGTCCTCTTTATTGCATGAGCGGCGCTTAAATTTTCAAATATATTGAAAGGGTTTTTATCTATTACTTGCAAGTAAACGGCGGCTGTTTAGAGTTTCGTCAAGGCTTTTGTGGGTGGGTCAATTCCAAGAAGAGCACCACACCATGGAAGCAAACGAAGACAAATGAAGAGGCAAGATTAGCCCATGTCAAGCCAGGTAAAAACAATTTTTTTTTAAACTCATGCAAAAACGTTCACAAAACTAGATTATGGTGGAATTCTTTTTGTAGGCATACTCAGAGTTTTTCTTTCTTTCTCTCTTTCTTCTCCTTCTCCTTCTTTATCATTTTGTTTTATTTGGCAATATTCTCCGCCTCGAACTAACAATTTTCTCGTTTACTTACTTGTAGGCGTTGAGAAAGAAAGCAGTTACCAACTGAACTTTACCGCTAACCATAGCGGCTATGTAAACATTACTGATTTGCCTGATCTCGTGGCTTTCACTGTCTGCTTCTGGATGAAATCGTCAGACGATACAAGTGCAGGCACTCCGTTTTGGTACAGAGTGCGCTATGAAAAAAAGGGAAGATACGTTACTGCGATTGCGCTAATCGACTACAGAGGATTCTATGTCTACATTGGCGAGACAAAATCGTACGTTTCTTTCGTTAATCTTTCATGAACAAGGCTTTAGCTTTATAATTGCTTGACTGATTTCAGTATATTTAAAGTCCGAAGCATCCTTGAAAAGGTATTTGCTTTTCTAGTGGTAAATTTTTATCTTAACTCTGAAATGTTTAAAGACTGCTCACAACAGGGAAAGAAACAAAACTGAAAGAAAGGTATAATTAAAATTGTCTTAACTAAGCAGGAAAAGCCGGAGCGGAATTGGAATGAGCTTGTTATCGCCGAATTCAGGGAAAACGATAATATGTATATTGGGAAATATATTCTGGTTGTAATTTTCCTTTTCTTATGTGGGTAACAATGACGAATCTTACCATGAATTGGTATGTTTGATGAATTTTTATATACGTTTTCCAACTTGCCATTTACGATACTTACAATTATAATTCTTTGGCATAAGCCAGTACGAGCTCAGATATATCACTAAGTTTAAATGACCATTCATTTGTTCAAAATTTCCCGAAGAACTTGTGAATACCGGGATGAATGGGTAGGATGCTGAAAAAGAAGCGCGGTTTCTCTTGTGGCCTCCAGTAGTTAATTCCGATGTACAAGCAAGGATTATATAGGAATGCATTAGGTCTTCATACCAGTAATTTGTACTACTATGGTATTCCAAGGCATTTATTCATCTCAGGTTGACAACAAATCTATGAAAAAGCAGTATGACGTATCCAAGAATATTAGTTAGAAAATTACGACCAGCCTCTAGATAACACTTTCCGTTTTCTTGGTAAATTATTATATACTTTACAGGAAAAGGACCAGTGTCAAAGCAAACGACGGCAAGTGGCATCATATTTGCCTGGCGTGGAAGTCTCCAGATGGAATATTGACCTTCTACTTTGACCAACTACAACTTCAAGGGCGAGGATTTTCTGCAGGTGAAAAAATTCCAGGTAATGACGATGACATACAATACTACGTTCGGTCCGTCCGTCATAACCTCGAGCGTAATAAGTTCCCGTCCGGCCCTCCCACTCAGTCAATACGTGCGTGGTAATAAGACATCCTGGAATGTGTCCAAAACCTTGACTAAGCCCTGCATCTAGCACAAGAAAATATGAAGAGAAAAGGAAAAGTAGACTGAAAGGATCATTGAAAAGAAGCCCTTTACTTTAAAAAATGCAAGAAAAGGTAAACCTGCACTATACCTATATTCTTTTTAACAGGTAAAGGTGAATTTGTGGTTGGACTAACAAAAGATCAAGCAAAATTAGACTCAAAAGCCGGCGAATTCATTGGTATTATCAGCCACGTTAACATATTCCACACATTTCTCGATAACCACGTGATAACCTGGATGTCGCATGGCTGTGGCGAGGATTTGATGAATACCATTGTTCCCTGGTCCCAGTTTACGTATGGTTTCATTGGAGACGTTAACATTCAAAGACCAATGACGTGTAGGGACAATGAGGGTTGGTGCATAAAGCTCTTTTTAAATACTGGCGACAAAAGTAGCCCCAATGAGACTCTCTGTGTGGAAATTTAGGTTTCATAGTGTACTAAGCGAACCACAGGTTCGGCATAACCAGGACTTGCCATTAATTTTGATCACTGTCAGCAATGTTTATCGAGTACCCTTTATCGAAATTTTTCATTGATTCGTTGTTAGTTTAGCTCATGGCTTTTTATCCCATGGCCATCAAAGCGAGGGACGCTTTGCACTAAAATAACCAACGACAAATTTTATTTTAATTCTCAGGTCTCCACATCATTGTGTTAGCAAACCGAACATCTCCATCTCCACAAGTATCCGTGTTTGAAAGTCCGCTTTATGAGCGATCTTATGATGCACACAGCATCTGTGTATTATTTAGGTATATCATACATGGTCCTGGAATACGTTTCCTTCGTTTTTATCAACAAATGGACCTTGCAAACCATACGAGACGGTTAATATGGGCGGCAAACGAGTCTAACAACACGGAAGGAATATGGAAGTATGCCAGAGTAACCCTGCCAAGTATAACTAAATACAGAGTGAGTAAGCAAAGTTATGAGAACGACATCATAACCGATGCCTTCTTTAACTCTTAATTTTTTGTTGAGTTTACAATGGAAGTAAATTATCGGATAGCGATGGGCGCTAGACTGATCAGAAACATTTCGTCCATCTTCTCTTTAGCGTGAAAAAGGTTGAGATATAAGTGCGTACGCGCTTGTCTTCCAGTCCCCGGGTGATCATTGTCTTGTTCCTGTCTTTCTTAGATTCTTTTGAACAATAAAGTTTAATAAGGAAAATCAATCGATAATGGCTTCTGCTGTCCAGAGCAGATTTGTGCCACAAAATACGATTCAGTGCCAACAAGAGACTATATGTACTTTTAGTGCCCCAAGATATGTAATATTCTCTTGGTGCCAACTGCTAATTGTTAAAAACATTGAAGAAGTTTCAACTTTCAATTTTCAGTTAATGTAACATATTTTATTGTGCTGATCACGTTGCCGATGAAGCAAAACATTCAGCTGTCTCAACAATGTGCTTCAAATAAGTATGTGTATATAAAATGTTCTCTGCAGCTGCCATCTTCTTAGTTTTGCCTTCATAATTTATATTATTCAGATGGCGAATGGTTACATTTTCAGGTTTCTTTTGAAGCAGATTTGGGCAGGTACCCTGGTTTTGTTGGTGTCAGGGGTTTACAAGTACAGCCTGGATATTGCCATCCAGTCCCACTTAGGGCAACGCAAGGTACATGTTCACATGAGGCTGTACTTTTCTTTTTTTTCTGTTGGTTTTTTTTGTTTTCTCTAGCACTAAGTGCCAGCTATTTAATATATGTTTCATGTTGACTAATATATCTTCTCTTGGTGTAGTTATTTCTGTATTTCATGCAGTGTTAGTTTAAAAGGAATATTAAAAGTTGTGAGTCCCTTCGAGGTTAGCACCGCCACCTTTAATTGCTTTAAATGGTCAACATATTTATTTCTGTATTTCATGCAGTGTTAGTTTAAAAGGCATATTAAAAGTTGTGAGTCCCTTCGAGGTTAGCACCGCCACCTTTAATTGCTTTAAATGGTCAACATATTTTTTCCTTGTTGTCTTTTAGGGTGCAATGGAAACATGACCAATTCATCAGGCTTTATCTTCTCTCCACACTTCCCCGGTTATTATCCGCCTCTAACTATCTGTCGCTGGACTATAAAGGTTGCTCCCGGAAAAAATATAAAGCTACGATTCTTGGAATTTCAGTTAGAAGATCATCCATCTTGTTATAGTGACTACATTGAGGTTTATGATGGATACGAAACTAAAACAAAAAAACTTCTCGGGAGATATTGTGGCCTGCGATTTCCAGACTTTCTTGAATCATCGACGAATTTTATGTTAATTAAGTTTGTAAGCAACGACAAAGTTACAAGATCTGGTTTCAAGATGCACTACACATCAGAAGAAGGTAAAGGACTACTAAGTTAAAGCGCACTTTACAAGACCTTCCCTTAACACAAATAAATCATTGTTTTACGGTTTGAGAGACAGGCTGATTGGCGAATGTTGTGATGGATGGAAATGATGAGGATAACGATTACGACAAGAATAACTTTCAGAATAACGATAGTTATAGTTATAGTTTTTTGTTGTTAAGTTCTCATAGCAAAATTGCGCTCAATAAAGTAAATAGAGTCGAATAGCACTTAACAGTAGTTTGTTTTCCTCCCATAGCTCTCCTTGGGAATTCAAATTGCGTCAGTTTTGAAGGTAACATGGAATCTAAAGTGTTGATTTGAACCAGTGGAGCTCTAAGGTCTTCTCGATCCAGTCAAACTTGGACCCCACTTTTAGTCGTGATGTTACCCGGAGAGACCTGCTGTAAATGAGTTCTCTCGCCTAATCCTTCCCAAATTTACTGGTGCTGTACTGAAAAGGACAGACAAGTTTATCTAAAGTGTTTTATGCACTGACTTTATACTCTCGATTGAATAGTCTGTCTTCTGTCTTCTTATTCTTCTAAAGCAGCTTTATTTCTCTCACAAGGTTGCCCTTCAAGCTGTGAGTGTAATATCATCTCATCTAAGCGTCATGATATGGTGATCACAGTTAAAAAGGGAAGAGAGTTGAAGGCCATACCAGAAAATATGCCTTCTAATACAGCTGTAATGTAAGATATGAAGCGCTTCGTAAGCGGTTTGGTGCTTTACAAAGTTTAAATGAAAATAAAGGTTTCAGATATCTAAGATGAAGGAAATGTTAGAGCTATTTTAACGTATGAAAATCTATTTGCGCTTATAGAAGAAGATTGGAGATAAACCCTTTTTTCCTTTCAATTTCTAAACATTTTATAAGTACCCATTGATATCGTGATAAGAGTACTGGTTATTCATTGTGATGAAGTACAATGATGATAAAACAATATTGTTTTCTGTCCTTGTCTTCACCTCCCTTGATGATCAAAGCGTTTTGACTGCATACTTGTGGTAATGTTTGTTTGTAACTTGATTTTAAAATATCACTTCTTTCATGGCAGATCGTTCCAGAACAATAGGATTTCGTATCTACGCACGAATCAATTTTCTGGCCTCTTGATGTTGACTTACTTGTAAGTATACTCTAAGTAAATGCTGATATTGTAAATGCGACTTGATTATTTATTTTTGTCCAGTCCAAATGATTTAACAAATAAAGAGGCCTTAACTGTGGTCTGTACAACTGTAAGCAAGCGTGAAGCGACTAGAGCACGAAAGAAGAGTAAGGAGAAACACCACACACTTTTTGCAGAGCGATCCGCATGATCGCAGTCGCTCAGATACCTGCATGATTAGTATGAATTTTTACAGTTGTGCCAGTCTGGCTATATTTTTCATAATTCCTGTTTTGCTCTGATTTGCTTTTTAACACTATATTCTATACGAGCGTTAGCTGTGTTTGATTTTTATTACCATACGAAAGTTTGCAATCTAACTGAGCGTGAATACCTTCAAATCTCGGACTGCCCATTTCGTTTTCCCCTTGAGGATTTTCGTCTCTATTCGTGTTATAATAACGTAAACTACAGCTCTTGGCATGTTTAAAAATCTTCGATTGTTCCGATATTTCACTTTCAATTAACGAAAAAAGCTAAAGAGAAGTCCCGGAAAAGGTCAGACATAGTACAGTTTGGCAGATGGCGTGACAGCTTTAGCTAAGCTCTATGCTTTGTACTCTGATAGAGCACGCTCTTTTAACCAATGACAGCGCGCGTTATATCTGAACTTTATTGTAAAGGTCTGTAGAGTGGTAGTTAGAGTCGCAAAAATAGATGTGTTCCTGTACAACAAGTAACCTAAATATTGACTGACATGCGGGTGGTTTTCAGGGCCGGGGGCAAATAAATTTCATCACTTCTTTGATGAAAAGTGAAGAGCACGAAAATAGATATACGTTTGACCAGCATCCCTAGTTTGTCTATCAGCTAAAGAAAAACATTTCATAGGAGGCTCTGAAGGACGCTCTTCATCAAAAGATCTTATCTTGGATGATGTGAAGTTTAAATAGCTGTTCAAAATATTATAAATGGTGATAATTTAAGACAAACGAAATCAAAATATGTACCGTTTTTTGTTGCTTCTTCCAGGGACTTGAGTCAAAACCGTCTCTTCAGAATCGAGAAACGAGCGTTTGAACATGCTGTTTCATTGCGTTCTTTGTAAGTGTATGGTTTGAATCAAAATCTTCCCATCTATTTGAACTCAGAGAAATCATAAATATCTTGCTTTCTCCTCGGTTCGTACCGTATGTTATGGAACCTCGTTTTTTTCAGCTCGGATTTAAATCCGAGCTGAAAAAACTCGGTCCGTAACTAACAGTACGGAACTCGAAGTAGGTAAGTGAGAAGTGTGTATTACTACCAGCAAAAAACATACGTGCAAGTTCTTACACTGGTTTTGCTTTGGCTTTCATCAAATGAGGACACTACTTTTTTTTTTGGCTGGTCATGACCAAATAATACTTTAAATTGCTCCTTTTCTGACATGTACATTTGCGAAGCTAGAAAGCTGTAGTAATTACTTCTTGTTTTTAAAGAATATTAAAAAAGTAATCATATCATTATTTTCTAGGAAACTTCAAGGAAATTTCATGAGGACTTTACCAGGTGGAATTTTCCATAATGCGTCAAATCTTCATACTTTGTACGTATGATAAGTGAAAAAAAATCATAATTCACTGATGTGATTTGGTTAGTAAAAGTAATAAACAGGTGACCAAACAGATAAATGAAACAAAACTGATCCGCTGCCTTTGTCCCCTCTTTGTTGTTCTAATCTAGGGACTGTAGTTTAAACTTGATAGAGGAAATATCATCAACAACACTGGCTTCACTGGCAGCTTTGACTACATTGTAAGTAGATTTTTAAGGCAGGATTGCCATCAACAGTATGTAGATTCAGTGAAGCTTCAACTCGAAGGGTCTGTTTGCTAATTTGCAGGGCCCTCATCCTCAATTAGAACTGCCCTCAGGATTTTGAAAAGTGTATTTATAACAATTTACGGTCAAGTTATTGTTTGTAAAGGAGAAGTGTTGCAATGAATATCATCGATTACACGACTCAAAAATAGTGCACCTTGAATAAGATGACTACAAATTTTTCATGTTTTTTTTCATAGGAGCTTCAGAGAAAACCGGATAAATTCTATTGATATGGATGCTTTTAAGGGAGCCCGGAAGCTACAATACTTGTAAGTTCTCCCGTAAACTTTTTAGCTGTTTTATGACTTGACTATTATTTTCTCAAAACTCCATCTTGATCTGGCAATATCTTGGCAGGTATCTTCAAAACAATTTGCTGGAAGAGCTGAGTGATAATACATTCCTGGGCTTAACAAGACTCAAAGTGCTGTAAGTGGAATGAGCTGCTCTTCAAATTTTCTTTTGTTGATTTTCGTGTTTATGCTATTGCTTTTCCTGTTTTTTTATTTTGTTCGTTTGTTATAATTAGCATTATTATTAATATCGTAACCATTATTATATGAACTATCAATAATTTTATTATTATTCAGAAATAAGCATACATTAAGTAAAAAATGGCATTTGTCACAAAATATTTTAGTTTAGCTATTTAGTTGTTCCGATTATAAATGCTATCTAACAAATAAAACTACTGAAAGTATGCATCTAGCACCCAACAGTTATTATAAGTGAAAACAATTGTGTACCCGATTATTTTTTTCTCAGGTCTCTTCGTTACAACAAGATAAAAAGACTGACTTCCAAGACATTTGCTGGGCTTACCTCATTGGAGAAATTGTAAGAATTACTTCGTTGTCCGAATTTGGAAGGGGAATGTTTGGATTTTAATTCAAAAGGCATACATAAAACATTTCTTAAATCACAATGATGAAGTCATTATTTAAATCCAGGTTCATAGTAAATTTGCACGGAGATTAGGCATCTTCATTTTACCGTCCTTTTGAATATTTCATTCATTTTTCGATGTTATATTACACACATATATCTTTGTTTCAGAGATTTACGGAACAATTCTATCAGTTTGAGAGACTTTTCACCTGGCGCCTTCGATGAACTCCGCAGTCTTAAGGAAATGTGAGTCCTTGTTAGCTGGACTAATATAAATCAATTGAATGAAGTGAATCATATGTTAACCTGCAAATGAAATAACAGTAAAGAAATGATCTTCGCATTTGAGCTGCAATTAAAGTAATCGCAGAAATGAAGCCTGAAAAAAATTCAGGCTTCGACGGAATTCAAACTTGTGATTTGCGTATAATAGTTTGGCACCAGTAGCAACTGAGCTACGTGGTCTGAATTTTTTTAGTTATACAGGCTAGGTTTCTTTCAGACTTTAAATCTTAGGAAGTGTCTGGTTACAATCATTTTAAAACCTACATAACACTATTGCTAAAAGTCAAAGCATACCCACTATAATCTAATAATTAAAAAAAAAAAAGTAATCTCGATTATCTGAGAAAAATTTTGTTATTGATTCTAAATGCAAACAACTCAAAAATTGCCTCTCAAACGGTTGACTGGGTGTTATTATCATGACTTTTTCAGCTTCCTTGACGAGTTCATCCTTTGTTGTTACGCCGAAAAAGCAGCCCCTGGTGTCGGATGCATTTCGCCGAAAGATGAATTTTCTAGCTGTTCTGATCTGATGAAAAACAAAGCGGTCCAAGTGTGCATTTGGATTTTGGGGCTGACCGCTCTTCTTGGAAATCTCTTCGTCATTTTAATGCGAGTAATCGTGAAGGAAGATAACAAAATACACTCATTTCTTTTAACGAACCTTGCAATTTCAGATCTTCTAATGGGCATCTATCTGCTTATTATCGCTGTAAAAGACGTACAATGGCAAGGGGAATATTTTAAGCATGACATCAATTGGAGGTCAGGAGTAACGTGTGCATTGACTGGAGTGCTGTCTATGGTATCAAGTGAAGTGTCCGTCCTAATGTTAACACTCATTACCACTGATAGACTAATCTGTATCGTTTTTCCTTTCAAAATGAGACGCATGAATCGTGGCAATGCTTACATTATTGTGGCGGTTATTTGGATCTTCGGAACTCTGTTATCTGTGATTCCAATGTTTGGGTTGGATTATTTCTATGACGATAAACGATACGTAGGATTTTATGGAAAGTCTGCAGTTTGTCTTCCTCTCCAACTGTCGTCAGATCGTCAAGCTGGGTGGGAATATGCTGTGGGGATCTTTATTGCTTTGAATTTTGCATCATTTGTTTACATCCTCACTGCATATATAGTCATGTTCTTCTCTGTCAGAAATGTCGCTAAGAATATCAGGTCAACGCACATTAGCAGAGAATCGCAAATGGCGAGAAGAATGGCTTTTATCATTCTGACTGATTTCCTCTGTTGGATGCCTGTAATTGTCATTGGGATGTTGTCACTGATCGGAAAATTTCATGATCCTGAAAAGCAAGCTTACGTTTGGATTGCCGTGTTTGTCCTCCCTGTAAACTCGTCCATAAACCCTATACTATACACATTTTCCACTCCTTCGGTGAAGAAGAAGGTTACAGAGCAGAAGGACAGGTTGAGAAGTTATTTTCAAAGAAGTTCACATCAGTGGGAAGGATCTCCAGGTAAATCTCATTTTATCAGTGCTTTTTTTTCATACAAATTAGATACATGATGAAATTAGGAGATCCTCGCAGCTAAGAACACTACTGAAACGAGTTGCAGCGCTCTACCAATTGAGCTAACAAGCCAACTGGGAGTTGGTCAATGAATTGGGTCCAAATAAACATCCAAGTGAATGAAGATTTTAGATATATGAAAATTCACATATTTGCACTGCGGTGGAAAGATGAAATTAGGAGATCCTCGCAGCTAAGAACACTACTGAAACGAGTAGTTGTAAATAGGACCTGAGAAAAAAAATTTTTAAAAAAAATTTACAACTACTCGTTTCAGTAGTGTTCTTAGCTGCGAGGATCTCCTAATTTCATCTTTCCACCGCAGTGCAAATATGTGAATTTTCATGTATCTAAAATCTTAAATTAGACACATGTTAAAAATTAGTTAAGGTATCCGGCTGTCTATTAAACACACTTGGTGTTTTTGTCTTCTGATTGGTCAGTGTCGTCAATTATCGGAAGGGAGAGTTATAGTGTTTGTTGTAACTGGATAAAAGGTTACACATTTCTTAAATAATGCGGCACGTACTGCTGCAGTTAAATAGCCAGAATACGTTAAATCTGCAATGTAAACAATATAATCCAACTTATCTCTTATGTAAAGTGTAACTACAAAAAGAAAAGTTTAGCATAAAAATACCCAATATTTTAGTCCATAGAATAACTAGGCAGATGAGTTCAGTTATCATAATTCTAACATGAGACAAAACCTTCCGTTAGGGTCACGAGGTACTTCACTCAGCTCATTAGTTGGTGGAAACACGATCTTCCCAAGTGAGTCACAAAAAACGACTTTGTCAACCTTCAGCCTCTCCCCAATTCCAAGCATCTCCTCTCGTCCATTGGAAGAGATACCAGAATGCGAGGAACCTGAAACCGATTTAAACCTGATTGAAACACCAAGTGTCTTTTCGGATGAGACTTCACATTCGGTGGTAAGGCTGATAAGAATTGCCCGTTTTTGGTCATAAATGTATATTAAACTCATCTCCATTGAAATACCAATGTTTTCGGAATGGATGATCATTATCGATTATTGTTTTAGAAATACGTATATTCATATTGATATTGGAAATATATTTAAATCAATGTCATGATTTCTAATGCTCGTCCGAAACGGGCCCCCCGGACCCCTCCCCTAGATTCGCCACTGAAACCAATGAAGCCAAAGCCTCCTCTCATCCACCTCAGGAGAAATCCGCTCGACTCAAAAACAGTAAAAAGAAATTTTGCACAGACTCAACCTTTTATAGATAAAAATAATTACAAGGAAGTCATGTAAAGGAATATCTATCCGCTATTCATCCAGAAACGTGATCATGATACACTGCAGTTCTACTTTTTTATCAATTCTTTCAGGGTTTTGTTGTGGCGTGGTCTGGAAAGAAAAAAGACGTTTCTTTGCGTTTGGTTAAGCATTTTTCAAAAGCTAAGGAGGAATCTTGGAAAAAGGAGACAGAAGTAGCCAAGGAACTCAATGGAGATGGCGAAGGGCATCCAAACATCATCAAATATTGCTGGAAAGCTCGAAGTAGGAAGACAGGCGCTATTTTTCCGATATAAGGCGGTTTCCGTTATATCTAGTTTAGATGTTATGAAGGACAAATAGGCTGAAAATAGGTTACATATGGCTACGCATGTTTAAGGCCAAAGCTATTCACATTATGATGAGGTTGTCTTCCGATGCAGTGAGATATTTGATAATTTTTAAAGGGAAACAATTGATTGCAATGATCGTCCTTCGCAGTTATATAGGATCACCAAGGCTTTAAGATGATTTTTCTTCTAATTGATTATTTATTAACAAGTGAATTTTGACAATACATAACTGGTTACTGATTTCAGAATTTCCGAATCTTTTTTCTTTTAGCTGAACAATGCAAGCTACATCACAAGCGAGGAAAATTTCTTCGATTAAAGAAAAGTTATTTGTAAGCTATTTAAAGAGTGAACGAACCCGTATTTTATCTCCCAGCTTTTTTTTTATGAGAAATGTCCCTACGGTAGCAATTCATTCTTTTTTCTTCCCCAGAATGGCTACTCTATTTTGTTAACATAAGATTTCAAATGTGGAAAATTTAAACGTAAAAGTAAACCTTGCAAAGAATATTCTCTACGAATTATTGCTGAAATGTGGGTATCAATCCAAAATGTGAAAGAAAATCTTATCTTTAGGGCACTGTCACTGAGTTAAGAGCTCCTTCAGTCAATACAGTTATAATATTCCTAATACTTATCTATGTTATTGATCTCAATCACAGTTTGCTTTGCTATGACTTTACTTCGAGTAAGACGTTGGCTGAGTTCTTGAATGACAACCGAGTTACTCTAAACCTGGATCTAGTCTTAGTTGTGGCCATTGATTTAATTTATGCCATCGAATACTTGGAACGAAAGGGTGTTATTCATAACGAAATAACAACTTCCCACGTGTTGATAGGAAGAGGACTTAGGGTAAGATAGATTATGAACTAACTACGATTCATGTTGATGAATTTTCGATGTTACGCACTCTCTGATTGGCTGATCGAAACACCAGGGTTTATCACATCACAGCTGCATGCATGGTAAGCTACGAATTTAACCCGGATAATGAAATGTCCTTTCATGCGTCAATATAAGGGCGATAAGAGGTATAATTACAAATATCATTAAGGAAACAGACCACACGTGTCAGTCAACTAAAAGAATCACACCCAATCCAACTGTCTGTATTTATCTTTACGAGCTCTATCCAAGTAAATAATGTTCACTAACGCTTGTATGGTCAGTAGTGACTGTCATTGGTTCTAGTTGTCTCAATTAAAAGGGTAACCTGGCGAGTAAAGTGGAAGATTCCCTTTCCTGCACTTGAAAGAGAACTACAACAAGTCGTTCAGCCTAACTGGTCAATTTTTTTTCCAAGTTCAGTCAGTTCCCGTTTTTAATAGTTTTAAGGGTTTAGTAACTTTCACCACCGCGAGATTTAACACCAGAATATTCCATAATCAATGAATGTAATCCGCAAGTTCGATAATTTTCACGCAGATGCCCCCGATAGCTGCTATTCTTGGAGGATTTGGTTCGGCCCAGTTGATATCTCGAGACTTTCCTGAATCTACAAAAACTGAGCATGAAAGGAAGGACATATTAGGGAAAAATATCCTTCAATTTGGTTTCTTGTTGAATGATTTGATTAAGAGCTGCAACGAGGATGAAGAGGTGGCACAAGTAGGTTGAACATTCAAACTTATTGCTGTAAAAAATTCAAGGTATTTTTTATTTCGGGCTGAACAGTTCTTTGTAGCTACGAGTGTGTCGTTGATTACCCGGCAAGGTATACTTAACCAACGACATACTCTTTAGTTATGTGTATTATCACACAAAATTCGCATGGATTTTCCTTCGTGATCCACAGGTTTACAATAGTCTCAATTGCATTTATCAACTCGAAGCATTGCGTTTAAGCTTTAAGAACGGTAAAGTTTACCACAAATGGCAACAAGGAAGAGATAAATGCACTTAACTATTAAGAATTTTTAGAAGTATGAAACCTTTTTTCATAGCTCAATTACACTTTAAAAAATTAGCACCTAACATTGTTTCCGAATACCATAACAATTCTACATATCTTGCATGACACGCCCTATGCTACAAAAAAACTCTGAAGGTGAAGCTTTAACCTTCCCTGACATCAGTATGCATATTCTCCATACTACTCCCAAGACATTTCCTAAGGTGCTGACAGGGAGAATTTGTTCAACAATCAAGAGCTTCTTTAGTTAGTGATCATCTCCTTTATTCTCATGACCTTAATGTTTGATTCAGGGGTGATATTGTAAGGAGAAATTAGATGTTAGTCACTCTTAGGGGTTAAGGGGTTAACATCCTTTTTCACGATATATAATTATGGGAACTAGGAGGGATGATGAGCCTATCATTAAGTTTGACGGTCTGTGGGTAAGAAAACAAAATACACTTCTCTTTTTCACTTTTCTTTCTCACTTTTCTTTTTTCTTTTCCTATTGTAGCTTCGAGAAATGATACAATTGTGCTTTGAACAAGACCCGGATGTTCGACCAAAAGCTTTGCAACTTCGAGGCCTTCTGGAAGAACTGTGGTGTCGCAATGATATCTGGGATACAAATTTGTAGTTATTAGCGAGGCAGCGGTTTTTTTTTCTTTTAACTTCGTCCTGTAAGAGGCGCATGCTCGGAGACTCATGTACGCCGAAATGTATTGCGTAGCCCCTGGCTCATCGAAATGATTGTCCGGTGTTGAGAAATACTTTCAGTTCCCATTTAATCTTTCATGGGATTTTAATTTGTTTTCGGCTATCGTGAATGGAGTTCATTTTCAATGATATTATTTTTTTTTCGTTGGGGCTCATTACTCTTTGCCAGACTTATTTTGTTGCGTGCGTGATTTGGGTGTGCGTTTTAGTTGCTCACATAGCACGAGTTTCATTCCCCTCCACCAGTGTAAAAAACGGATTTAAAAAGTCGAATACACTTTAACTGTTCCATACCTTTGGTCAGAGGAGACATAAAAGAGTGTTATGGGTGCTTCTGTTGCCAGAGGGCTTTAAACAGTCTCAAACCTTAGTAACCAATCAAGCGCATGTTGGGCAAAGGTTTTTTTAAATGTATATTTACATCATGATATGATCGTAGTGAAATATTTAACAAAAGTTAGGGGCAAGAAAAAAAAATGAAAAAACTAAAAGAAGAAAAAAGAAAAACCGATTGAGAATGGGCGAACCAGCCGTTTGCAATTGATAACTACGAGGCCTCATAAATATGAGGCCTTATAATCCTTCAAACGTTTTGCTACCGTGCGATCGGTCTGAACGCGACAACTCAACAGATAATTCTCAGTTAAAACTAGAAAGCATCCTGTATTTCCCACTTTTTAAATCTTGCAGCAAATGCGATGAAGGGCTTCTTTGAAATGATTCAATTTAGGGGAGTGTTTAAAATTTTGTTACATACAGATGAAGATAGAAGTCTCGGTTCAAATTACAGTATTCAAGTCTCTTTGAAAAGTCGACGCCAGGCTTTTTGGAAGCGTTTCGTTTCGCACGCTGCGAGAAAATGTTTGAAGGATAGCCAACTCAGTAGCTTCCATTTGGAGCGAG